CAGCACTTACCGCATACCACTGTCCATCGGGTAAACCACCTATTTACTTGTTTGAATAATATAATTTAAAAATAGAATCAACAATAAATTTAAAAAAAAAGTTATACCCGAAACCGAAATTAATCCACCATCGTTATTCCAATGTTTCGTAGAGATGCTAAAAATAACGTAGTCGTGTAAAAATAACGAAAATAACAAAGTTGTTTGCAGAAACTCTTCGCCGTTTTAGTAGAAAATTTACCTTTTTACGTTTGTACACATCGCGATGTAAGAGTAGTTTACGGTTTGCACTTTGCACGCACGCACATACCCCGGTTTGCCCAGTTTAATTTCTATCTGTGTTGTTACCATTAGAAAAAATAAAAAAATACCCAATAATTCGGTATTGTATGTGATTTATTTAGTTGTCTTAAAAGTTCGGCCTAATTAGGGTACATATTATATGCAAATATCGTAAAATGTGTGTGTTGGCAGTTTGCGCGACAATAATATAAGTGAAATATCCGATTGTAAATTAAGTGACACTCGTGGTTATATTCAGAATTTTAACACGATATTTTTAGGACTAAGGGCGTCATCACACTTATTATTTGGCTTGAGTCGGTCACAAAAATCTTTTTTTTTTTAATTTTTAATTTATACAAAAAGCAGACTACAATGATCCAAATTGGAAGACAATTTTTTATATATATATATCATAGATATAAGAATTGTCTTGTTGTCTTGTACATAATGTTAATGTACGGACAACAGCACATCAAACTACACATTTTTGTTCGAACATCGCCTCCATTGCAACGGAACAAGCTACGTCAATGTGTAGCTTGATGTGCTGGTACATCTAAATAAATCAGTGTCTGCATAACAAGAAAAGTTAGTTTGTGCTGTTTACCACCTTTCCACCAGTCTTTTCGCGCATTGTAGCTTCTAACCTACACGGCAGCCCCATCAGCATCCTGAAGGTGTTATTATATTGGACTCGAAGGACGCTGATAATTCACTGCATAACACGACTGTACAGAACCTACACGTGTATGCAATGAGAGCGAAAAAATCGTTGCGTATTTTACGTCCGCTCGAAATGCCAATGCGTAACGTACATCCTTTTGATCCTTCTTACATGGACATAATTTTTTTCTTAATACGATTCCGTGTCGATAAGTGCGGTGACTACCTAACTATAACGAAATTCTGCATTCATCATACCGTTAATGCTACACATCATGTTATATAGCCTTGTGCAATGTTTTGAGCGCCTTAAAAAGTGAGACATATAAATGTTTGGTAAACAATTTTTAATACATGTATACAGGGATTGGACATCATGGTTAGACATTTGGTAAAGCTGCACCTGTCTGGATAGAACAACCCGTCAACTGATGTTGATGGAAGATTCCGTAGCCCTTTCGGTATTGGCTATAGGTACATACAAATATACCTGTAGCTAGTATTTTTTTAAATTTACACATCTATATTAAAAATATCTATTCTATCTACATACAGCCTGAAGCCATTAGTACACTGTGTAGTGTTAATGGAAATAGGCAGTTCAGACAGTTCAAGGACAATTTTGGTTCATTCTTGCTTTATAACTTTTTATAGTGTGGCAGAGAATTACTAAAATACTCGCCAATAAAATTATTTGCCTACATTTCCACAAATTCTTGATTGGATTCCGTAGTTATTTATTTATTTAAAATAAAGAAGAATACACATGAAAGTCATTAGTAAAGCAGTGTTAATTGAAATGGGCAGTTCAGACAGTCCAATTTCGTCCATTCTTGTTGTACAGCTTTTAGTTACAATTCTTTTGATTTTATAACGTAGCAGCGGATTACTAAAATTATTTGCCTAAAATTCAAGAAATTCTTTATTAGATTTTGTAGCCAGTTACTTATTTGTTGAAAATAATCTACAATACCGGTTAAAGCCGTTAGTAACACAGTGTTAATTGAAATGTGTAGTTCAGACAGTCAAAGGACAATTTTGGTCCATTATTGCTTTATAACTGTCAGTTACATTTCTTTCGCTATTATGGCGTGGCATTTTTGTCAATTCTGGATTGGATTATGTTTCTTTATAAGAGAAAGTTGCTTAATATTTTTGCACAAGGTAGCACAGCGCTGTAGTATGACTTCTGGACTTTTCCATTTGTTGACTCGGAAGATAATAATGCTTTCGTTTCTTGCGTCATTAAGAAATATTCTATAAGAGACAAGGTTTAGTATTATGATGAATGTAGCATAATATAATGCCGATGCTTATATCAATAAATACGAATTCTAATGTTAACCAAAAATACGCCAAATATCATAGTTAAAATACAAGTAAAGTTTTTAATATCGGGTGAAATTATAATCGTTTATCCAGCATATGAAGTAGTACTTTAAACGAATTATTCTATTTACTGTATTTATGATGTCGATTCTAATGCATTTACTTGTAAATCTAAACTAAATTTAAGTTGGTTAAAATTATCAATAGTCGATAACTGTTAGCCTATTTCGGCTGCTGTTCTTTTCTCTGTAATGTTAAAAATAGGCGAGACTAATTTCAAGACTATTAAAAAAAAATATGCATACAGAATCGTCACTATTTATCATCACATTTATTCACACGGATCTCATTAAGCCGGTCAGAAAAACATTTTCGGCTTAAAGCGAATCCTTGTCAATAAGTATGGTGACCCTAATTTTGCAAACAAAATCGAAATTCCTTAATTTTTATTAAAAAATGTTTGTTTTTGATTAAATGTTTACTTAAAAATCTTTACAACTAAATAAACATAGATTCATCGAAATAAATACTGGTGATAATTAAGTGGTTTTAAATACCGCGGTAAAGCAATAATTACAATGTTGTCTCCATTTTTGCGCACAAACACTTGTGTTGTAGTTCTTTGTGCCTCTATGTGTTAGCATAATTCGGTTTAGAGAAGGAATTTTCATTACAGGGGCCGTCTTAAGTTGTCATTAGATTGTTAGAAATAGGTATAGTAACACTACACACCAGACGATCGATTTTCGAACTAAACGATTGCGCATATAGATTGCAGTTACGCGTTGACCTTTTTTATAATGCCAAGTGATGGTACGAACTAGCCGCGCGTCTGGTGGCAAGCGAGACGCCTGTGTAAAGGAAGTACAACCACCTTGTGTATTTCTGCCACTAATCAATAATGTGACCATTACTGCGGTTTTACGGAACTACATGCTTATAGGACTTGTAAACTTTTATCTCAAGGTAACAGATCTTTGCGACTTAAAGCTTTGAGTGCTGCAACTATTATTGGCAGGCGCACGACCTGTTCGTCTGTTATTTGATATCATAAAAAACTAGTATACGTCGCAAAATTTTGTTAATAGTATTAAATCGACTGGAACGGTAAAACATCGAAAATACTACAGGCAAGCGATTTAAAGTATTTTTTTAAGAGCCTGTACAACCTCAAATGCCTTTGGTTTGTTCCACTTAACAGTCAGAGTGTTGAAGTAATTACTTTGGAAAAAATATATAGTAAATTTGAGGATATACACTGATTACTATAAGGGTGTGAGAACACGGTTTCTAAAAAATTTCACTATAGAAAAAAAAACACAAACTTACCTCGTTACAAGAAAACCTCCGTATTTAATAGGTACTTTACAATATACCAATGACTTTTTTTTTATCTCAACTGAACTAAATAAAGCACGTATACTCTACGATATATATTTTTCAAATGCCTTCAATTTCGTTTGTAAAAAAATTTATTCTGAAATAAAGCCAAGGTCCTTGCTGCTCGACCTAACCAAAATAAACCGTATTAGTAGATACTTAAGAAAATAACAACTCTCAACAAAACTAGAAAGTTTCCAGTGTCGAAATGTAGTTTTACTATTATACCTATTTCTTCCGAACAATGTCGTCCCAACTAGTAATTAGTACGCTTGAAACGGCCCTGAAAAATTGATTTAAAATTAGGTATATGGAAAAGCATTCCCTTTTGGATTAAGCATCACATTTGAAATCGTGAGACGAAGACTTTTTTACTCTCTTTTAACTTTTACCTACGATTATTGTAAATAGAAAATATTTTTCCAAAAAAATAGAAAGTTTGGTGACGAAGTACTGTATTTTATTTCTTATATTCTACACTTAGGGTCGTATTCTAGAATTCTACTCAATGCTTGGAATTGCAAGGACTTGAGTATGATTCAAAGCACTAGAAATCATACTCAAGTCCCTGCCATTAGGGTCGTATTTCCAGTGCTTGTGTTGCCAGTGCAATCCTGACTTGAGCATTGAATAGAGTTCTAGAAGACGACCCTAAGTACCGTTAGACCAATTGGCAAACCTATCGCGTACTTTATTTCAGCGTGACCATAGTCCAGTTTTTAAATTTGACTACTCAGAGTCGCCATTTAGACGGTTCTAGTCGCAAAAAACTAGATTTAATTTGTTCAAAAGTTATGTTCTGGCCACACAGAGTAGACGGCCACGGATGCGTTCCGGGCGCGGGAATTTTTGTAATGTATGAGTTCATATGAACCCTGCTACACTGAAACGCGCGGCCGCCTCTGTATGGCTTGAGCATGAAGGTGTTTTGCTGTCCACGCTATAATAAGCTTATTCCAGAGGCACCATCTCTCAATCTCGAGAACCCCTAGAATTCTCGAGATGGTGCCGCAGATCCAAAACTGCTTACACAAAAAAGTCGTGATTTAGTCGGTTCTACATAGTCGTAAAAAATTAGATTTAATCGTTATGCCGTTTTGAAATTATAAGAATCTTATTAATTTACTGTCCACGCTGGAATAAGATTATTCCGGCGACGCCATTTTTTAATCTCGAGAACCACAGCTCCTAGCTTAGATCTGATTGCATTCAGAGAAAGTCATGAATTAATCGGTTTTAGACGCGTTTTAGAATAAGTCGCTCCTTTGTTTAGAAGATACAACCGATTTATTACTACTACTAATATAGATCTTATTAAAATCATAACTCATTGTCTAGAAAAACTAATTTATTGCTCTTATATGGTTAGTGATGTATTCTGTGGCGGTGCAGTTATTGTTCTTGGAGATGACGAGCCGGTCGGAGTCGAGCTTTAACTCCTCCATGATTGCGTAGATATGTGCGCGCACGCTCGCCTCGATCTCCCGCGATCGTCCTAAGATCCACATGCGATCTGGAATGTTACGTGTTAATGTTGCGTGAAAATTTATGACATCTTTTGTGTATTTATTACGACATCGATAGAGGGTTCTATGTTGAGTAGGCATTCAACATTGCAACAAAATGTTCTACTTGGGAGCTAATCTTTGGTGCTAGTTGAGTGTCTTAATTATTTGTTATCTTTTTAAGTTAATGGCCGTAAGCCAATGCTCAATAATAATTATTGTCCCAAAAAAAGAATTATCAAAATCGATTCACAAATAAATAATAATAGTAATTGCCTAACATACACACAACATACACAAAAAAAGAAAAAATGCAAAAAACAAAAACCACTTTTGAAGTCGGTTAAAAATTATACTAACCTGAATGAGCAAAACTGACGCTATTACAAGACCAGACGATAGCGAACTGGTCGTAGTCTGTGAACAGTATATTGTAAAGCCCTGCGCCGGGCAGCAGCTGACCGATGATGTAAGGCATTCGGTTGTTCAGTTTATACCGGAATGTCGACGAACCGTTGTGGTTCGGAATACCGATCCCGTACGTCGTTGATGGACTACCTGTCCTACGGAAAGAGTCATTATTATTTCTAGACTTTGTAAACATATTACATTTGAGCGCGTTCATCATGGTACTTTATAGGTTCTATAGTTTTTCATATATTTATATTTATGGGAGTTTGAAAGACAAGGAGAACCTTTCATCAGCTTAGAAAAACGCAGAAAGACAAATTAATTCAATTTCTCTAATTCGGTTTTATATTAGATAACTCCAGAAGTTACTTAAGATGCAGCTTCTGATGCGCCGCGGCCAGGGCTGGAGTTACCACTAGGCTCCAGCTTAGGGGCGCACAATATATGGGTCATAGTTGCCTGATTGAAATAAATAAATAATACAAAAACAATATCATGCGGCAAGCTAAATAAAATATATTTTTCTCAAACATGCTCGGAAATGTTTGCACTACTTTCAAAAAACGAATGCGATTTTCCTTTATTTTTTTCCATCATCTAAGGGTCGTATTACAGAACTCTACTCAATGCTCAAGTCAGGACTTCAGTATAGGACCAGAGTAGAGTTCTGGAATATGACCCTAAGATGCGATTACTTCCCGGCCAACGCCTGCAAAGTAGTATGAAAATCCATTAAAAAGGCAAAAGAAAATCTCATGCAGCCAACTGCCAAGTGTTCGTAATTGTCAGATTTAAAAGTATAATTTTTTTTTTAAATTGGCGGGTAAAATAAACTAAAATGCTTTGGTTTTTTTTTCTGTCGTTTTGGTCTCTTTTCGTTATGTTCTTCGCGAAAATAATTTATAGTGAGAAGAGCGATAATGAAATAGTTATTTTTGATATAAGTGCGGAAAGTTAGTCATTATTCACGAGTCTCGAGGCTTCTTGGCCCTAGCCAGAGGCGAGGGTCAAGACGCGAGACAAGTGAAAATGACAAATCCGCACGTGTATCAAACGACGTTTTTTAATACATTTGCGAAAAAACTACATTGAAAGTAAAATAAAACAGTATTTAAACAAAACTCATTTTCTGCTAGTAAATTAAAATAATGAAATACAACCACTGCAACCATTAGTTAAAAGTCTATGGAAATCTAGTTCTAACGTGCTGTTTTTGTTTATTTTCTGTAATATCGGTCTGTAACCACTTTTCTTATTATGAAGTCCTGGTACTTTTGTTTAAACTTCTTTAGGAACCCGTGCACGGTAGTGAGATACAATTTATCTGTAATACATAGAACAAATATATACATAAAAATCTCGCCTGTCACCCATTCAGGGGTAGGCAGAGACTGTGGACCTCCACTCGATATGTTGATTATATAGTATTTGTAAATAAATATAAGTTTTAATGACGAATGACTTACGTCACAAAGCACATAAATATGAAATAAATATACAATCTCTTTAGTTCTATGTTTAAGACTTAAAACAACAGTAAATTGAAAAAAAACTGGAAAAGTACAAAGCACTAGTGCGAGAAATCCAACTTTCCGCACAATTTGTAGTGCGAAAAATACCACGTTTTGAGCAACTGTATTAAAAATAAATATTTATGGATACACAATAAACCGCGTCATCAGAACTTCAGCAGATGCATAGATTAAATGTGCCTGGAAAAATTATGTCAAATATTACTATTAATTTTAAGTAACTTATCGAGTTCTTAGGTTTTCGCGATTGTTGTGTTTAAGTAACTTTTTTTTTACTTTTTTAAATATACACTTCTCTTTAATTTTCTATTATTTCCTCGCATTGTTTGAGAAAAGCACTATATAAGCCTCGGCCGGAACGGGTATTGCATGACTCGTATTAATTTTAATAACTCACACTCGTCCAACAATCCCTTACTCCCCGGCCTCTGCGATTATGTACTAAAAAAATCTCTTAAGAAACGTCCAAACTTCAATCCTTGGCAATAGCTTTACACAGCTGTGTAGGGCTTTACACAGATCCTCTATCGCGCGTAATACAGCCAGTCGAGCGTACGTGTAAAGATATTGGAAGGATAAGGGAACGACCGTGCGTGCGCTCATCGCTCGCACGCGCAATCGCGCGTTCCAAGATTGCCTACGCTCTTCCGTTGTAATAAAAACGAACACGACCAATCGCGCGCGAAAGAACGTTAGCTTAAAAAAATCACACAGGCATTCGCGCGCAATTGCGAATGCAGGCTTTCCCGCGTGCAATCCTGTGCGATCACGCGAGATAGAGTGTTGTAAAGGGGGCTATTGTTAATCTACTTTAAGGGTCGTATTCTAGAACTCTACTCAATGCTCAAGTCAGGATTTGAGTATGGTTTAAAGCACTCGAAATAATACTCAAGTCCCTGCCATTAGGGTCGTATTTCCAGTGCTTGTGTTTCAATTGCAATCCTGACTTGAGCATTGAGTAGAGTTCTAGAATATGACCCTAAGTATCGCATTGTCACTAAATTTTCAAGAAATACCTAGCTTCTTACCATCTGTTGATAGTATTGACTGTGATGAGGAGGTACCCTCGCTCGTTGAGAATCACTTCCAGCTCTGTGCAGCTCGCTGATATCTCCATCAGGTAAAACGATCGCTCGACTTCGTACCATGTCCCTTCCATCTGCGAATGTGGAATAGTGTTAGATTCCAGTATATAAAAAAGATTTTTTTATGATATCTAAATTACCCGCACGCTATGATGGCCGTTTTGACATTTGCCCAATCATCAAGTTTCATATTAGATCTTAGAAGATGGAAAAAATAGATTCATAACTACGTTGAAGGAGCTAATTGATGTACACACGCCAGCACATCAAGCTACGCATTGACGTATCTTGTTCCGTTGCACTGGAGGCGATTTTCGAACAAAAATTTGTAGTCTGGTGTGCGTTGTCCGTACATTGTTTTCAATAGTGTCGTGCAGTAAAATTTACGGATGTATAATTTTACGACACAACTCGGCATTTGTTTTTCGAAATTTTTAAAAATGAAGTTTAAGGGCGCGTTACCACTGTCGTCACGTTTTATTATCGTTGGACGACTGTCGTGTCTAGCCTGTTCCGATATCACGACTATCTGTCGTGGACGATTTTTTATCGTTAAACGACTGTCGTGACTAGCTGTTCCCACTTGATCGTGACGACAATTTATCGTTTCACGACAGCCTCCTTGTCATTTGCACGACAGAATCGTTTGATGCACTGCAGTCGCTTGTATGTTCTTTTGGAAGCCGGTAGTGTGTGTTCGTTCGAAATGGATGACGACGAAATTTTAATAATGTATTACTTTTTTAAAATGCTGAAGAGGAAGCAAACAAAGAAAAGAAAATTAACAACAATTGATGAGAACAAGCTGTCTTGATAGTCACGTTTGTGAATTCGGAACCACAGTCTAGTGTCAACTGTTAGTTTCGCCAAGGAGCATATAGATGGCGATGTCATAACTTTGCGAAATAAACATCGCGTATTTTTATTTTACGAGAAATTACTTCGTATGTGCTATTAAATAAAAAATAAACAAAATATTGAAGAGATATATGTAAATAAATAAGTTCAACTTAACTTTTAATCATTACAAATCAATATTAAGACAATAAAACTGAAAATAATATTGTTTCCATTGCATCCGTGTAAGGGCGCGTTCCCACTATGTCGTGACGACAGATTGTCGTGCAGTTTACACTGTCGTGAATTGTATTTTTAAATGAAGTTGTTCACACATAGCACGACAAGATTAACTGTCGTTCACGATTTTTTATTGTTATAGTCTCCTTATGAAAGAGTTAATCCGTAAAAGTACTGATACAGTACCTGTTTCTGCAGCCAAACAGTAATATAATGTGAGCATTACGACGTTCCGGTTTTGAACGGTAAGTTTATGTTTTGAAAGTAAAGGTGCTGGTAAAATTCAGGGGTACGACAAACAAGCTATTCTTCTCGTTAACGTACTCCAACCTTTTTAAGAACATTCTCGATTTGATCCGAGAACGGCCTTCGTGGCGGTCTTCTTTCATTATTGCATTCCACATTGGTTACCATACTTTTATCCATTTTAACTGCTTCCGTGGCCGAACGGTTGCCATGCGGTCTGCCACGCAGTGGTCCCGGATTCAATTCCCGGGCCGGGAGAAATATTTGTATGGCCTACATTTATTTCTCTTGTGAGTTTGGGTGTCCTAATTTGTGTGTCCATGGCACCCGCAACACAGGGTTTCCCTAGTAGCGGGGTTATGGGTGTGTGCGTTATTTATTGATTTATTCATTCATTCTCTGTGCCTGTACCACCCATTATCTATGGTACCACCTCAACATATCTTTCTCTATTTAGAAAGTCACTACCTACATCCTCTTTACAATATTACCGACAATACGAAAGATCCGATCCGACAATAAGATCCGAACACGCTTCCATTACACAAATTTTTGTATTTGCGAAGTTTGTGGAATTCACAAGAATGTAGAGCATTTGCTCATGGAGTGTGTTTGGACGGAACTTATCAGTGTGCGGTTAATTCCACGGCCACGGGTTGATTTTGGTCCTATATTTAGTGTTGGATGGTTTCAATCCGTTTTGTAGGACCAAACATGTAGTGGCGAGAAGATTTTGTATGCGTGTTTGGTTAAGTAGTATAGGGTTTTTTCAATGAGGACAGAACAATTTTGTATTTCAATAAAACACAGAACCATTGAGATATCAAGCTGAAACTTATTCTAGGAATGCAGTACTCATGTTACAGTTAAGAATGGAATTCAATCTTGTTCATATGACACCACCGCGAGCACGTTTGCAGAGTTCAATTCTTTGGAGCCAATTTTCCATACTCTTTCACTCATATCGGCCGAAATGTTGGCAATTTCGCTTTTGATATTATTCCTGAGTCTAAACAGCAATGTACGATTGTTGCGTATTGTTACAACTCAAACTCATGTCATATACAATGCAATGCTGGGCAAAAGCTTCCTTTAGCACGCTAGTTCAGACTGAGATCAAAATGACTATAATTTGTAGTCCGGCGGGACATATGACCACCGGTGGTACATCACCCTTGTATTTAATTGTATAATAAACACATATTGTGATCATACCTCACAACTTACAATAATAACGGCCTCACAAGTGCTTTTAACACATGAAAGTCAAAAATAATACGAACCGCAGGGTTTTCTATAAGGGCGGGTAGATTTTGACAGTTCATAGCGGCTATGTTGTTGATATTCGAACTGCATGCTACTAATTTAACTTTCGACTTCAAAAAAATGAGGAGATTCTGAATTCGACTCTATTTTTTTTATATGTGTGAAACGATTTTGATGGATCCTTTTTTATTGGAAAGTTACCTCGGCATTGGTTCCATGTACATTTGAAGAAAATATTCCATTTCTAAGGGTGGCAAACTAGGGGGGTTGCATCCGGTTTCACGCACTTTCCGGTAACCGATATCAATAAAACTTGACAAATATTCCACGAACTTTTGAAGTCGGTTTTTTTTAAATGTTGTAATTATTCAGTTACTAAAACGGTCAATAAAGACAAATCACATGGCAATTTACAGCGTCGAGCAATACGTGTAAATGAAAAAAAATATGGCAACGATGCGCACGTTGCGCCCATACGATTTACGTAGTGGTCCCTCCCAGTAACTATTCAGTGAATCATCAGCCAACACCCGTCAACGAAACCCAAGATCTATCGAAAACCGAGCCGCTGTTCGTGAGAGTGTTCAGGAGAACCTGAAGCATCCGTAGTCACCGTTTTACAACTAGCCGTATTCCATCGCGAACTAAAACGTTTGGTGGCACCTTCCTCTGTACAAAAACGCACAGTTCAAAAATGGAACACCCTTCCAGGGCGCGTATTCTCTCCATCTTACGATATGGGGTCCTTCAATCTAAAAGGCATCTTGTAGGCACGCAGGGTGGAGGTGGCTAGGGCAGTGATTGTTTCAACGCTGTAGTAACTTGATTTTGATTGTCTCTCCCGATCGGAAACTGCGTCTCTTCCGAGTCGAGGTGCTTAATAGCGATTCACAACTGGCCGATCAGAAACTTTTCAAACAAAACATTTCAAATCGGAACAATAGTCGATTTAACTCACAAATTAGAAAGATATAGTAGGGATCAGGTTCACCTTCTCGCTCAGTAACCCATCTGATTTCGAGACCCGATCGGATCGATGCCGATTTGAATTAAAGTCAGCCTGCAGGTGGAATGGAGTCATCTACCTTTCATTTATAAAAAAAAAACAAAAACAAAATTTTGAAGTAGATTAAAAGTAATAGATTTGACTAAAGCGGCCTCAACAACATGGCTGCTATCGTGTCAAAATCTGCCCGCCCCTAATGAAAAACCCTTTACATGAAACAAATTATGTATATATGTGGTATTTTATAACTCTCCTATTTAAGCATAAAAAAGTTACCGACTAATGTCGTTCGTAAACTCTTTAAAACGCTATCCTGGAAAGTTGGCTCTTTGCAGATGTGGCCTTATAACACCAAGAGTACAAATTTCGTGAGGCGGTTTTTTCATTTCATTTCATTCGGTAGTTTTTATTTTTTCTCGGCTTTTCGCGATAAGCATTTCATCCACTCATAAAAATTTTGACGTTTATCTTTAAAACGAAAAAAGTTAGGTATATTTCATAAATAGGACATTTGGAAACCGAAATTGGGAAGAGAGAGAGGAAAATAGGATCAGGCGAGAAAAATGAGACTAAGAGTCGTATTCCAGAACTCTACTCAATGCTCAAGACAGGACTTGAGCATTGCAGTGAGCACTGAAAATCATACTCAAGTCCTTGCCATTAGGGTCGTATTTCCAGTGCTTGTGTTTCCAGTGAAATCCTGACTTGAGCATTGAGTAGAGTTCTAGAAGACGACCCTTAGATAAACAATCAGTATAAACAGAGGCGGCTCGTGGGAGATTTCAGTGGGAGTTCACTTCTATGCATATTCATATCTTTATTGCTTGCCACATGGTTACATATTTTAAATAAAAAATGAAACTCACATTATAGTGTCCCATTTTAAACAATGCCACTAAACAACACTACGCTTCGTAACAACGATTGAATAATAAGAATTTATACAACACAACAAAATGCGCGCGAAAAAAATACGGTTAGCTTATTTGCGCGGATAAGGTATTACATATACATTCAAAAATATTAATATATATATATATAAAAGATAAGTATTCCCGGGAATACTTATCTTTTATATATATATATTAATATTTTTGAATGTATATGTAATACCTTTGAACTTGATAGATGCTGGAATAGATCTCTTCCAGAGATAAGCTCATCATTGTATTCATTAGTAACATGTAATTTTTAATGTCATTTATTTGTACAATAAAGAATTATTATTTGTCTTTCTTACACAATATCAATCTTCTGATAGCTACTAACTTTAGCACTTTCAAAAGTAAAGTGTTGAGTCTACCAGTACACTACTTACACTCTACAAGATGAACGTATTTTTCTTATCGAGATATAGTGCGATCATAAATACCAACATTTAATTAACTATTTATTATGTACTCGTTTACATAACAACTAACATTGACCTATGATTTATAAGTAAACTACTCCTTATACCTGGCATATAAAGAGGGTAGAGGTGAAAAACAAGCAAATTCTTGCGTCCTCGTTATCAATCGTTGAAAGGTCCGAGCTTTTAGACTTATGTAAACAGAATGTTCCCGTGTGTTGTGACAAACGATTTGTATAATACATAACCCAGTTCATTATACTCTTCTTTAATTCTCCGCTATGTTTTTGCTGAAACTGGATCATTCTATACCTTTCGTTGGTTTGTTTATTTAATTATTTATTATACAAGGAAACACAAATCTCATTTAGTAAAACGGAAAACAAACAAAAGGTAGCAGTTTCTATAAGAAATTTCTTCCTGCAGACCAAAATTCAGGACACAATTATTACAAGAACGGGTTTAATATTTTTCAACAAAACAACGAATAGTGTTTTTAATAAATTTGATTATAATATATAAGGACGGGCATTCAGGCAAATCTCATTTTTTGACGAGGCATGGTTACTACGGGACTGATTAGGTTGACGTGGTAGATACATTGACTTACAAATAAATGGACGACGGGTCTAATACAAAAACCACAAAAAAATGTCCCAAGTCAACCTATTTAACGTAGTGACATGTAAAGGAATATGAAAAAGTTAAAACGTTGAATTTAAATTGTAATGTCATCACAGTACTGTCTAATTTTGCTTGCTTCGCTGTCAGTCGAACAAACGAAGACTAAAGCGTGAATGACGCTCTGTATACGATTTTAACGCCCTATAAGTTCGGACACTTTTTAGCGCGGACCCGACGTCCATATAATTGTAAGTCAATGGGTAGGTGTGAATTTTATTTTTGATTACGGAATACATAGGACAAAATCTGAGTTCATCGACCGTGACAAAGTGCATGTAATCGCACTTGAATATTCATCAAAAGCCAAATCTAGTAAACACTGTTTCAATTTCAATATCACAATCAAAAAGGTTTGTCAATGGCTTTGCCAGTTCGTTTTGTTGGACTGTGTTTTTCCTTATATTGCATAACAACTAAATTCCTGTGTTCTGTTATAGATCATGCTCTACTTGTCTATGACGAAACGATACTTCGTGGTGATTGTATCAGCGAACTATCCAACGATATCGAACTAGCGTAGTCTTTAGAACTATGGACGGTTATTATTTAATTAGGTACACTCTAAGGTATTTATGGTCCACACTTATTTAAAATAAAATATTTTTAAGCCACCAACGCTCATTCCTAACAACACTACCTAACCACCTACCCAAATAACTAACTACCCCATAGCCGGCAGGAATCTGGTCACCGGTTGCGGCTGGTTGGTCTTCCCCTTCACAATCCCGGGCGTATCACTCCCCGAAACTGTACCCCCTGGTATATCCGGCTTGTCCGGGTCCGATTTACTCTGACTGGGTATGGAGCCAATGAGCAATGAGCACTACAAGGCTTTAAAAAGAATATCGTTCAGTATAAAACCTCGTTTATTTATAAATAAACTATCACTTTGGGCAATATTAACCAATATCTATCTATTAAATATATTAAGGCCCGCAAAAAAGCAAACAGTCGGAGTTAAATAACAGGTTTAAAAATTTCCAACTTTGCACACATACTTACGTAAAATAACGTTAAGGCTCAACTCGCATTGGCGCAGAGTCGAAGCGTCATGTTTTTCGCCTATAGTACATTCATATCTATTTTCCCATTATTAAGGTACAAATTTGTGTTATGCAAATATGGAAACGTGTGTCGACGCGCGTCGACGAGTTGAGCCAAGTGTATTCACACCAATTGTTTTATTAAACTAAAGATGTAAGGAATTGCCTACTTTACTGGAAAATAGGAAGTTTAAAACTAACTAACAGTCTAAAACTAATAAAAAATAAAAAAAACAACTATTTATTTATATAGATTTTAAGACTTTCGTCGTTATTCACTGAATAATTATCACTAATATCAGGTTTCTTACCACGGTATGACTTCTTTTTATTTTCCCGATATTTCGGAACGGTTGCACCGTGGTAAGAAACCTGATATTAGTGATAATCAACTATTTATTTACTTTAACTTAGGCCTAGTTTACAATTCGGGACGGAACTCCTTTTATGTAAATATATGTATACTTGTACTGGTGCTAGGAGTCCCGCTCTTCCACTATTGATTAATACAAACATACATAATCGATTAATAATTTATTTAAAACATTCCTCGATTACAGCTCTATCTACATAAAGTTTTAAACAAAAAATATTGATGCAAATATTCACATTAATATACTAAAATTCGTTTATGCAGAAACTAGAGTGATTGCTTAAAACCCTAAAAATACTTTTCGTGTACGGACTTAAAGTCTTTGCAAATTGAAAAATTTGGTTATTTAGAATGATGAGCATTGACCTTGGTAGTTTAATGATGATGGGTGAAACATTTATTAACACGAAGCTTTATTCGCATCATGCCTCTTTTAATTTCGTCGAGTTCTACTTATTTGACAGTAATTATATTGGACGGATGCCGGACGGGTTATGAGCCTTCAGCTCGCCCTTAAATCCGGTGGCGCAGTCAAGGCCATCAGCGGCCAACTGCAAAATATCCTTCATAATAAAAAAAGGACGGATGCCGGACGGGGAGCGAGAATAGACCTCAAGGTCACTCTGCAAAATAACAACTTTTCAGGAGATAGGATTAAAGGTTCTAAGAAGGAAATTAATGATATTTTTTATGTTTAAATAGTAGAATGATGTAATTTTACATATATACCTACGTAATTTTTTTCATGCAATTTGTTCTATTTTTATGACTTTCATGTGATAAAAGCACTTTCCACGTCGATGGCTTTCTAGAATATCCTCATATCTCAAAAGCATCTAATTCATCAGGATGAATTGCTTTAAAAACTGAGCCGAGTCTGCAGCGCAAAAATGACGGACAACAGACCATCTCAAAGTTGTCATGTGATTATTCTCATCAATGAAAAGCTCAAAAACCCAATCACAATAAAAGTTAGCATTTTCTGGATAAAACTCTAATATAATAGTCTGTAATAGATTTCTTAGGTTTTCGGGGTTGTTACACATAGGAAATGAAACTATCTTTTCGGACCAGCGTGTCGGGCCCTTTACAGGTCCCATCAGTCAACCGTGACCATGAGACCTGTTAAAGGGCCCGAAACGTTGGTATTTTTTTCTAAAAAACAAATATACGCGATTTAAATGCGGAAAAATAATTTCATTTCCTAAATGTCAGTGTCAAAAAAGGATCGATTTTGGATTGGGCTACTATTCTTGAAAAGCAACGACATGTGGCTTTATTATGATACCAAGATTATGCAAATAGTATTATTCAAAAGTTATGTTCTCTGTGATGTAAATTCACCTTCTTTAAAATCAAAGTAATGAGTCACGCCCTTTTCGTATTGTAAGGGAAAACGATCTAAATCACGTAGTATATTTGTTTTTTTTTCAGACACTTAACTTTTGCACTTACCCGTTTAATATCGAAGTTAGGCAGCGACGGGTATAAGGGACATTTTCCAAGTCCGGTACTGAACACAGCTTTAACGATCGTACAGAAAAGTATTACGTAGATCCTAGTTGCACCCCGCACTCTGAAGTCACCCATCACTGCATTTGACCACAAAATATTAACTGTTCTGAGATATAGATGTTTTGTGTGGGAAAGTGGGAACGTGTTTTGTAAACAGTATCGTATGTTTCGACAACAGTGTGATATGAGCTCGCGTGGCGGCACTCCGCGGTCGGATTTCGACTACCGACAGTACTCCACGGCTACGATAGAATATTCATTACGACGATTTAAGGTCACCGCATACGTAAAGGGGCGTGGACTGGCACTAAAGCTTGAAGCATACGAGTAAAATTTCTTACTGAAACAATTAAACTTGTAGATGGAAAATTGCCTGAACGAAAACGAAATGAGACTTTTTTTATAATACCAAG